CCCGGGCGGTCCCCGCTGTTGAAGGGGCGCAGCCGTCCCTCCGCGTGGCTGTTCCGGGCGCGCGCACCCGGGAGCTGTAGGAAAAGCAAAGCCCTAGGACTCACGTGCGCCCTTCAGGTACAGCATAGCCTGCGGGGTCCAGTTCCTTCTCGCCACAGGTCTCTGAGGGCGGGGAGCAAGGAAGCGCTGTTAATAAAACCCTGCAGCCCGGTCCTCCACCAGACAGAAGCGGGTGGGGGACAGAAAGGGAGAAAGAGGAAGAAGACATGAGAGAGAGGAGCCGGCAAGGCTGAGGTTCCCGGGGCCTCTGCCTACCTGCGGAGCGCGGCGGGGGTCTCCAAGCACTGCCGACGCCAGGAGAAGAGCCAAGGCCGTTGCTGCCAGACCTCTGGGCCCCTACGGGAAGCGGGAACCAGAGGGTCATCTGGGTGCCGGCCGATCCTCTGCTTCCTTCCCTGATGCGGGACAAGGGCAAGCCCCTCGCGGGTGTCGCTGCTCCAATGCTCGGGACAGGGAAGGGTCCTCCCGCCCCTTGATGGTTAGCAGAGACCAACTCTAAATATTACTTCGAAATACATCATTGGCATCAAGTCCACCAAAAAGTTAGGCGAATAAATGAAATTGTTTTCTCAATTAAATCAAGCGATGCTCTGATTGGAAAGAAACTTGGTTCGAGTACCCGTTGGCCCCTAAACTACCCACTAAGCACAAAACAGAAAGCTGCGAAGCTTTTTCTAAAATAACTAAAAAGTTTCAAGGGAATAAAGTGAATACACCTCTACTTACTTTCATATTCTGCTCCTTTCCAGAGCCCCGTGATTGCATTAACTCTTTCCGGTGAGTTTTCCCATCTTGTTCTGGATCTGGGGCTTTTTAAGTCTTCATGTCAGGGACACCTCCCCATCTGCGTAAATGGGGGGAGTCCCACAGGGACGACGTCTAAGTCATGGAGAAGTAGGGGATCTGATGATTCCCTCCGAGAGACTCCACCGCCGGAAGTGGAGGAATGATGGATGGACGGACAGCTTTGTCTAGCTGTTGATCACATCAGCCAGGAGACATCCTGAGTGTATCAGCATCGCTGCCTTTGCCTTTCCTCTTAGCTGCCCAAGGCGTTACATCAAAGAGAATAATCAACGGTCCACAGCGGACTCATAAGTCGATGAATAAATTGAGATAAGTTGCTATCAGACTGTCACTGATGGCTGAAGACGGGTCACATGAAACCCTTAGGGAAGCTCAATGAAACTGGACATCAGTCATACACTTAATTATCCATCCATTTACTTATTTAACAAATATCTATTGAATGTCTGCCACATGTCAGACAATCCTTTTGATCCAGTAGACACTGCCATACGTTAAAAAGACGCGGTTTCCTCTTTGACCAGGCTCACCTTCTGCTCAGGGAAGCAGCACCTGAGGGAGGAAGGGAGAGAGGGAGGAGAGGAGAGAGGGATGACAAAAAGAATTAAGATGTGTTACGAGTATATACCGACCCTTCCCCCGGAACGTAATCCTGTACTGCAAGCACGTGCCAACGAAAACAAAATTTTATTTGAAAAGAGTTGAAACTAGTAGATGAATAAGGTAAATTATAGAATGTTTTAAATTATCAAGTAAAAGTAATCAAAGTGATGTGATAGGGTAAGTGGTAGGCTACTGTAAGGCAAGTAAAAGCCAAGGGGGTTCTTGAAGGAGAAGGCAGAATCAGACATAGGATAAACAGGTATGGATTAGTATTCCAGGTCTTCTAGGTAGGACATCCGAAAAGCAAAATCCTGGGAAAGTAAAGAGATCGACTTGTTTAAGGAATAGGAAGGACAGCGCTTTGAAATGGAGTTGGTGAGGGGTTGTGGATGAATGGGGTATGAGAGTATAAAAAAAAATAAATCAAGGATACTGCTTAGATTTTTGGCTTCAGGATTGGGTAAATGGTGATGAAACAATTTACCAAAGCTGTAGAAACTTCTTCTTTCCTCCTCCTCCTCCGCCTCCTCCTCCTCCTCCTCCTCCGCCTTCTTCTTCTGGTGTTTTGAGACAGGGTCTCACTATGTATTGAGACTGACCTGGAACTCACTATGTAGCCCAGGCTAGTCTTGAACTCACAGCAATCCTCCTGCCTCAGCCTCCTGAGTGCTGGGATTACAGGTGTGTGCCACCACACCCAGTTTGTAGAAACTTCTTAAAGAACCAATGAAGGGAGAGAAATGGAAGAGCTCCCTTATAGGTATACTAGCACTAAAACATATATTAGATATGCAGGTTCAAAATAGGTGACTGGAAATGTAAAATTTTAGAGAGCTTAGCAAAGAGATCATCAGCTTGTACACTGTTTTTTTTTTTTAAAGGTAATGAGATAGAGGAAATAAATGTAACTACCAATCTGATAGATGTCAGATATGCCATGTTTGTGTTCTTCAAAATTGAAGAATGAATTCTAAGGAACAAAGGAGGTTAAGAGTAGGAAAGTTTTATTCAGAGATGGGAGAGATAGTTCCTGAGAGACAGGAAGGGAGCTGAAATTGAGGTGTCAATGAGCTCACTCTTCAAAGAAAGTTTTATGGAGCAAACTCACAAGTTGGGTACAATCACGAGGTGGGTACAACATGGGTCAAAACTATGATCAACCAATAGGATTGCAACTATAGCCTCAGGTAATATTGATCCAATGGGGAAGCAGGTCATGTAACAAGTGTACATGGAAACAACAAATACGTTTTTAGGAAGAGATGAATGAGGAGGTCCTAGTCACTGGGTGACTGATGTCTATGTAGACTTTATTGGACCAGGTAATGCCAATTATAATATATTGCTTATCCCATGGGAATGCTTCTAGGCCTGGCCTTCTTGAGGCCTGGCCTTCAACAGATGCACCTCCAGCCATAATTGTAATGTTTCCATCCTCTGCACTGACTCCCTTAAGGAGGTAGCCCTGTCTAAAAGCCCATGATATTTCTACCTAACTTAGCTGTCCATAATATTAGGAATGATCAACTTTAAGAATTTTAAGAATTCTAATAATCTTAAGGCAGAAAAAAAAAAGATGAATGGGGGCTAAAGAAAAGAGGCAGGGACAGAAATATGGAAACAAACGCAGAGAAAAGGAGCAAATGAAGCGGAATCAGAAAAGGAGGTTCAAATAAAACAATTAGAAAAAAAAAAGAAATTGTTGGGGATCCTGTTGTCATGGAAGCCAAGAGAGGGTATCTAGTATTGAGAGGTCAAGCAAGATGAGGTCCAGAAGCATGCAGTGGATTGGAAATTATGATGGCTTTTGAAGATGGACACAGATTAATTGTGAATAAGATGGGGGAAAATAAAGCCAAAAGCAGATAACCTTTAGAAATGCCAAAAAAAGCCCAAGTATTTGGCTCAGTGGTTCTGTTGCCTGCCTTACAAGCACAAGGGCCCAAGTTCAATCCCAGGTACAAAAAAATAAATAAATAAATAAACAAAACAAAACACCAAAGGACGGAAGGAGGAAATGAACATCTTTTTTTTCAGCACTAGGGATGGAGCCCAGGGCCTTACACATGTGGGGCAAGGGTTCTAACACTGAACCATGTCCCCAGCCCTTTTATTTTGACTGAATTGAGCAGGCTGGCCTCGAACTTGTAATCCTCCTGCCTCAGCTTCCTGGGTGGTTGGGAGGAATCTTTTTTTGTGAGATACTTGAACTCACTGGGGATTTCTTATTCTTTTGGCCTTCCAGTAACATTTGAATCCCTTCATTTTTAGGGCATGCCTAAAATGCCCTCAATTCTAAATGACGAATGTTGTGGAGAGCAGTCTCCCTGGAATTTCTGCCCTCCCTGCAGGCAGAGTGTGGGCACAGGGCCCAGACCTTCCTGGGCAGAGGTACGTGCTGAGATGGAGGCTGGAGTGGGGGAAAGCAGCGTCCTAGGGCAGCAGTGCTCACAGTCAGGTTCAGTTTCTAAAGTAACACTACTGGCAGATCCGAGCAGTGAGCTCTGCATGGGCAGTGCTCGTGGCTCCTGTGTCCTTTTAATAAAAGTTTTCTTTTGCTTAGGTCAGTCGGGTTGGTGGGTTTCTGTTGACAACTAAGAAATCATTTGTAAGATATGAATGCCAACGGGGATGATCAGTAGAGAAGAAACTGATGATACAGAAGAGACCAGAGAAGGAAAGGTTTTAGGCCAGAGGGATACGATCTAAAGGATTTCAGTATTTAGGTGAAACAGGTATATCCACAGGCAGACCCTGAACAAGGATGAGTGTCCACCATATGAAATACGGGACATGAGATGACCCTCATCTCAGTCCATCCTGGCTACTCTGACAAAACAATAAACAGGCACAATAGTTTGGATTCTAAATGTCTTCCCAAGGCCGATGGGTTGATGGCTTACTCCCCAGAAAGGTGTTACTGGGAGGTGGTAGGTTCTTTGGGAGTTGGGGCCACTGGGCAACCTTCAGGTTATTGGGACCAGGCTCTTGAAGTGGAGTGGGACCCCAGTTTCTTGTCACCTCTTTTGCTTCCCTGGCATGAGTTACCAGCAGGAAGTGCTTCTGCAGGCTTAAAAGCAGTGAGTCCACTGGACCATGAACTGGGAATCTTCAAAACCGTCAGCCCAAATGCACCTTTTAGGTTTATTAGGTCTTAGGTCTCTGTTAGAGTAACAGAGAGCTAAGACGACCCAGAAGCTTTTGAAGAGCAAAAATTCACAACTCAGTTCTGCAGGCCTAGAAGAGTTCAGTATTCACCTGGGTTAGGTTCTCAGGAGGGCTCTCTTTGGCTGACTTTTCCAGTGTTAAAAGCAAATGAGCTCCCTGGGGTTCTTTTATGAGGTCATTAATCCTACTCACAAGGGCTTGGCCCTTCTGATCCACTCACCTTCTAAAGGTTCCACCTTTAAATACAATCACTGGGGATTCGCACTTCATCCTACAGAATTTCAGAGGATACAGAATTTAGAGCACACCTGATCCTTCTAAGTCAGGGCAGTGCTTCCCAGGCACTGATTTTGTGAGAATCAACCGGGAATCTTTTTGAAATGCAGTTTGGGATTCAATATACCTGGGTCAGGGCCTGCAATTGTGCACTTCTGAAACCCTGCCAGGTGACACTGGTGGATGCTACTGACCCATGGACACTTTAAGTATTAAAGCTTAGGGCATAGGAAATGAAGGAAAAGAAACCTCAGAGTCTGTGTAGCTGGGAGAATGGCAAAGGCCAGAAATATTAGTGGGTTTGGGGGCAGAAGAGCTGTTTCATTTGGGATTGATGTTTGAAGGGCTGATGTTATGTGCATGCACATAGTTGGAAAAGACAGATTGGAATTTGGTGTTGTTTTGTTTTGTTTTTGGTACCAGGGATCGAACTCAGGCCATTGTGCTTTCAAGGCAGACAGCAGAACCACTGAGCCAAACCCCCGGCCCCAGATTGGAATTTGGGTGCTTGATATTTAGACTTGACATAAAACCTGAGGGTTGGCTGGTGAATAATGGGGGGCGGCTAAGCATAAGTTAACCATTGAAAGTGGATAAAATTGTCACTCCACTTTAAATATTAGATTTCAAGATTTTAATTTCAAAGGATTGTAGGAACTACCTAAAAAATACTACCTCCAAAAAAGAGCAAGAAATTATATCTAATATGCTGTGTTTATTTTAAATGAAGTCATATTAGTAGGTTGGCTAACAAACAAGTAAAATAACCTTTCTCCTCTCTTTATACCAAGGGTACATAAAGGTTTCAGGAAGGACAAGAGAAATGAATCACCAATCAAACATGTTTTGAACTTTCAATTTTAGGAAAATCGAATGTGCTTTGTTGCTAATAGTTTAGCTAGCGAATTCACAAATGGGATGTTTTACGTCAAAGTTGCCATTTTCAGTTTCCTATGCGGAGATGAAGAGGATGGTTTGACGTGTTATCAATATTGTAGTCTTGTCTAGCGTGACACGCCAGAATGTTTCTTCTTAAAGGCTTTCCAGAGGGAATTGGCCCCCAATATGTTTTCGTTAAATCATGACACTTCCTATGATGTTGAGAGAGCTAAACCAAGAAATGGACTACATTATTTGGCACGAAAGCAAGATGATAAGTAAACTACTCAATTTTATTCTGCTCACAATATGACCAGGCAGTGGATGCTGAACAAATAGTCTGCTAAATCTTTGAAAGAAGCCACACTCAAGGCACACTGTTCACCTTCCTCACCGGTGCTATCCAGATTCTCACAGTGGACTTGTAAGGTGCCCAGGCCCCATTTATTTATTTTTTTCATTGAGTTTGTTGGTACATTTTAGGTAGACAGTACAGTTACATTCATCATTGGGATCTTGTACCTTTACATGACAGGTCTTGGTTCTCATTTTTTCCCCTTGTCCCTGTCCTCCCTTCACCCCCTCCTCCCCTCCCCATTTACGAACACTTTAATTCCATTTTTTTCATTTTCTCACATTTTTTTCTTATCCTTTATTCCCCTTCCCCTACCCTTCCCACTTTCCCTACACCTTTAGCCCTTTTCTTCCTATTTCACATTGTTAATTCTCCCATTATTATCTATCACCCTTTAAATGCATTTTCTCCAGGCCAGTCGTTATTGTGCACACATGGAAGCAACTGCTCTCTTGGAAGAGGTTACTTGCACAAGTGGTTATTGTGGTTCCCCAATGACCAAATTACTTTTTTTTTTTTTTTTGGTAACAGAGGAGAGGTTTGGGTTGGTATAGTACGAATGAAGACATGAACTTAATCTCCTACACTGGCTTTATTCTCTGCCAGGCCATCTGCTCCCTAGGCCAGTCATCTTCCCAAAAGGTAGAAGTCATTTTCCAAAAGGCAGTCAATCTTAGGAGTGGCTTTGGGCCATTAAGAAGCCTTGTTCTCCGAAATAAAACTTCCCACTCATCAGTCAAGGTCTTTACCCAGTCTTCCTTTTATTTAAAGTTTAGATTCCCAATAAACCATTTCCAGTGATAATATAATCCTCCCGTTTATAAATCCTTCCAGATCCTTTCTTCAGAACTACATAGAAAGAGAATTCTGGAGAATTAAAAAGTACTATGTAGGAAGTTTGGGGGTAAAGTGAAGTAGGCTATTTTCCACAATTATCTCAATTAGAATATTTAAACATCTATTTCCTTTCTTTCTTTCTTTCTTTTTTTTTTTGTACTGGGGATTGAACTCATGACCTTGCACTTGTGAGGCAGGTGAAATGCCACTGAGCTAAATCCCCAGCCCTTAAACACCCATTTCTAAAGAACATAACATGCATGAATGAATGTACAGCAACCTTTACTACAGGATAACTAAGAGTACAGGGCTGTTACTAGCAGACTAGTGTGTATCAAGTAAAAATAGCCAAGATACAGCTAAAATGTTCTGGATAAAGATGCAAGCGTCAAAATACCATCCCAACAGCTTTTTGGAAATGGGGAGCCTCAGAAACACGCAGAAGGAATCTATGATTTTTGTAATGTAAATCAGGTTGTACATTATTTGCAGCCAGGTCATCGAATTAGATCATTGAATTAAAGGTGAGATATGTAGTAGTCCTATTTCTTATGTAGGTCTTTGGACCAGAAATACTTCCAGGAAAATAATACCCCATTTTTAAACACTTTAAGCCCTTTTACATTCATTTTAAAATTCAATTTTATAGTAGCAAAGTAGATCCTGAGTTTTACTTATGAGCAAGTTCAGAGAACTTGAACTGACATAGCACTAAGTGCTGGGGCCAAGGCCAGTGCTTACAGCTGCCTCAAAGGACCACACCCCAGTGCTTGTCTTCAGGGATGACTGTTCATTTCCATCAACGCCGGTGCACCTCTGAGACAGGGCGCTGTTCAGACCCTTCCTGGGGCAGCCCGCTTTCTGCCTGTCTTCATTTGAGGCACAAGGTCACTTTGTCACATTCTCTCGGGGCTTGTTTTACTCTACAATAGCAACTCCAATGACAGAACTACCATCTAGAGAAAACAACAAAAGCTTTTTAAAGATTTCCTATGAGAAAGAATGGAAAACTCACAGTGAGTCAGATCAGAACTTTTTTTCTTTTTGGTACCAGAGATTGAACTCGGGTCGGTGGCAGCACCACTAAGCTAAATCCCTGGCAAAACTTTTTTTTTCTTTTTTTCTCAGTAGCTTCCTTTTCTATTGCAAAAAGGCAGCCAAGCAGGCAGCTGTCTTTCCTTCATGACTCCTCCTGTCCACTGAGGAGCTGCAGTTTCTCAGCTCACGAGGAACGTGGAGTAGAATGGAAGCGACTTGCGCAGAGGCTGCATCAGTCACCTTCAGGGCTGACAGACATCTGCTCTGTGAGCCATGACAGTAATGCAGAAAAGGGAGCAATTAGCTTTCATTTATTCAACCAACATATATTGGCCACTTACTAAATGCCAGGAATTGGCTTTCAAACGGAAGGAGGCATCTGAAACCTCAAGAATCTTCTCTGTTACCCAAAGCAAAGCAAGTAGCTAGTTCTGTGAAAAGACTGAGTCTAGACCCAGCGGGTCAGAAAAGAGGTGATAGAAGTGGTATTTGCCTTAGGCCTTGACAGCTGAATAAAGGTGCGGTCATAAAGAAGCAGGTCAGTCAATAAATTTCAGGCATGCTGCTCTGTGTCCAACCTCTCACACGGGTACGGCAGAAAGAAGACAGAGGCTGGGACATTATTCAGTCCCAGACCTCCACACAACAGCACAGAGATAAGCTAGATATTTATTTAGTAACAGATCCAGGCCTTTCAGTTCATGTGACAATCGACTTGCAATTTAATTCCTGCATTTAACAAATACTGTACTTATTTGGTACATCCGGTGATAGATTTGAGCAGTATTTCAGACCTTAACAAAATTTATCAAAACACTGCAGATGTGAAGTTATTCTATTTAGGTTGCAAACACTCATGTAATGATATATTGCTTCCTTTTCCTTTTTCACAAAAAATTAAACAATTTTCCCACTAATGTCTAAATTGACTGCTCTTTAAATTTTGTCATAGCAATCACAGCAGCTTTGAGTAAACTGCCTCGGCTGCCTGCAGGAACTGAAATTCTACAGTGCAGGTTTCAAGATATATGAATAGGAGAGGAAGTTCTACCTGTCTGGGCTTACAGTGAAAGAAGTCTTTTCCAAAAGGAAAAGGGGAAGAAAAACCTGCTATGCTGTTGGTAAGAGCAATACATATTATGGAACTGCAAAAAAAACTGTATGTTAAGAAAAACCTCCCGGAGTTAAGTGATGTCACATTTTTCTCCAGACACCCGCTGATAGCTGAAATCAATCAGAGCTGAGGGCTAAAGTATCCTAATGTCCAGGTGAGGAGAAAATAAAGGTTAGGACAAATGGACCGTGAATTCTGCTACCACTTTATTTGCTGTACAACTCAGGATGAATTATTTAGAAATGAGGCTAAGCTTTCACAAGTCAAGCTAAAGTTACAAATTCTCCATAGAAAGGTGCCAGTTTATTCTCCTGGGTCTAATTTAGTACAGGAAGTCCAGTTCTCAGGAGCTAGTCAGGAAGTGTGAAGAACCAAATGCTATGCAGACCTTAGGCTCCTTTTCTTTTTTGTAGTCTTGGGGATTGAACCCAGACCTTTGAATGAAGTACAGTCTCCCCCTATTCTCCTCTGTTTGAAGCAGGGCCTCACTAAATCTCTTAAGTTGCCCAGCCAAGGCTTAAACTTGTGATCCTCCTGTCTCAGCCCGGGATTGTAGGCATGAGCTATTGAAGCCAAATTTGATTTTCTTAAATAACATGTTGCCTAAGGCAAGCGGCAGTCTCTTATTTTTAAATAATTTTCAAACTTAGGGGTGCTTTTACTTATTTGAAGTCTATTTGTATAGATGATTACATTAAGAAATTGGAAATAAAAGATGTTAAAACCATTTGGTAGACATGAAGAAAATTGCATAAGGAGCTAGTTTTCAAGAAGTGAGGCGAGTTTTTTGCAGTGCTAAATTAAACTTTAGGATTTCAAAATAAAGATATACTTGACCACCAATTAATAGAAAAGTACCCTTTTATTGAGAAGTAAGACAAGTGCATTTACAATACTCAATCGTTAAGATTATATAATCTGACTGAGACTTTTTAAAGCAGCAGTATACCATGAATTACAACTTGTAAGGGGAAAAGAAAGACATTCCAAATGTTTCTGTTACAGAAAATACATTTGAACATTGACAGAAACACTTAAGGCTATGTAGTATTAGACCTTTTCCTCCATCTCTATAGAAAAAAAAAATCAAAGTACATTTTTGTTACAAAGACAGAAAGCTGATTTTGGAAGGGAAGAAATAAGACAGGGCTTCTGTCGAAAGGCTAGTATGTGTAAAAATAGAGCCTTGTCAAGGTTCGGGATAAGACATATACGCTGCCAAGTAGTCCCACACTCACATCTGATATTAACTGCACATTCATTAAAAACTAAAAACTGCTCCAGCCCCTTTACCCCAAGGACTCAGAGATTACAAATCTTTTCAAGTCCAATAGCGTTTTCTGAAATAAGATTGTTGAAAAACGGATCTTTGTTCGGGGTACAAAGAACATTTCGATAGAAATTCATGTTTACAAAGAAGTTAAATGATACAGATGTTCCTTCACAAGCAGATGCTGTTGTTGCTCTAAAAAGGAGAAATACCTAGCTAGCCAAGTAACTAATATGGCTCAGTCAAAAGTATGTGGAAGGGTCCTACAGGCCATCCTGTGTAAGTCAGTTCCCAAAGTATATATATTTGACACTCTCCAAGTGAGGATATTACTTTTTTCGAAGAACATCAGACACAATATTAGGTATCTTATTCCATGAACTATTGAGGTAGGAGTCTCCGTTTGTCGCATTTTCACAGATTACACCATAACGTCAAATGCAAGTACCAAATACAACAGTAATCCACAAGACTGAACCATTACGCTATACACCGAGTCTTTCTTCTGTAGACAAGATTGGGAGGTTTTTGTGCATTCTGATATAATTAAAACAAACAAAAAAGCTCTTAGATATCTTGTAGACATGTTTATAAATAAATATCACAAATTTTAATTATGCTTTTATGTGTTAAGAAGCTTTGCAACTGTTAAAAAAAAAATAAACAGTGCCATCGTTAGTCATAAAATAGTACTGTGGATACCGAAATGTGTTCCTATATCTACAACAAAAGCTGTGACCTTAGCTGTTGTTTCTTACTATCGACCAGCAACAGAAGGAAGCAAAAGAAAACATGTTCTTAAGAAATCATAGGCAGTTTAATTATGGTAAGATAATGTTAGCAGATATTTTCTCCACTAACCCAAGGACAAGAGCGATCATGGGAGGCATGTATCACACATTCTGATTTTTGTGGGTTATGAAAAAGTTCAAAATACAGCTGATTAAGTGAACAGCCCTTAACAGGTACAGGTTGAACTTTTAACATGGTACATGTCTTAAGTATTACCTACTGTTAGTTTAATTTATAAAGAATAAAACACTGCTGAATTTAAAATTGAAAAAAAAAAAAAAGAAAAAAGAAAAACAACATCATGATGGAAAAAACCCATGTGGTATGCATCATTTAGTATCTTAAAGACTATTCAAAGAAATAGGCTATGTAACAGATGACTTCTTGGGCAAGAATGCTTTCTGTTAAATGCTTACACGTAACGAAAGACACGAACGGTATGTAGGCTGGACTTCCAAGAAGTGTGAGCGTTTTTAGAGTATGTCAATGACCAAAACTACTTCATCAGCAGGAATTTAGAAACGAAAAGCCAGTAAAGGATGACTTAGCATGTCTAGTTCAGATTTCCACTTGGCTTTAAAATATTAAATTTCAGAAGAACCGTAAAAGTTTTATTTCAATCATGTTTACACAAAGAAGTGATTTATAACATGAAAATGGGCTTCCCTTGCATTGAATACATCAAAATGACAGAGTCCCCTTCCAGTTCAGGCACCACTTTCAGAGACACAGTGCAACTGGAAATGTTTTTGCCATCACAGTGGATATTTCTAAAAGCCAATGCTTAGGGACGCTCCTGAACCTTAAAAATAAAAAGAAGTAACAGGCACCAGAGTTTTCTAAGGATGGCTGTGTTTCACACATTGCGGAAAGACAAGAAAAACAGCCTTCTAGAGTTTCAATCCGCATTGTAACATGGATCTCATCTCCCTCAGTTTGCTTGCTGACTCCTCAGACCACTTGATCAGAAGCCTGTTTTCAATGCTTCTTTGCTAACTGCTGTTGGTACTTTGTAGGCTACACATTTAACTTCTGTAAAGAACATTGCAAGCTATTTCATGTAATTTAAGTTTGTGCTGAATATTCTTCAAAGGATTTTATAAATAATACAATATTTTAAATGAGTCTTCAAATTCACTTGTTGTTATACCATGTTGTTGCTTTCTCCAACTTTATCTACAAACTGTAAGGAGAAGAAAAACAGAAAATTAAAGAAAGCCTACAGTGTTATAAAACATCACATCAACACTTCAAATGTTGATTTAAAAATCAGCTTCACAAGAAGTTTTGTGGAAATTTAAGGTATGACTGACAATGATTAATCCGGTATTACTCACCACCATCTTTCTGACACATAAATGTATATAATTTTTTTTTTCTGAAAGTTGTATTTGCATGACATGTTATACATATGAATTTAAGGGTGCAACATGAAATATGCAACACAATGAAAAAAAACAAACTATATAAAATGAAGTTAACACTGCTAGCTTAACAAAAAATAAAAACTTGAAATGCCAGCCATTCATGCATTAATGAACCCAATAAGGTATTTCCACTGACCATTACTGTGGATCTCTTCTGGGCCTATGTAGTCTTTGAACAAACAGATTTAACTCCATTAAGTTCAATTATTAACAACAGCTATCAACTAAAAATACTTTAAATGTGTATTCTGGACTTCAGACTGAAAGTGACAATGGCATTAAAACATTTAATGATGCAAACATAAATTTATAATTGCTAAATATAAATTTTAACACACATTAATGTAAATGGTTATTTATTCTGGTTACTCCACCCCAAATAAAAAGCAGTTTGGCTTTCTTCAGCATTCCAGATGGTGATATAAAGATTAAAACAAAGAATAGCATTAGTGCAGATATTAAAAGTTATATAACACCAAAATGGCTATAAAACCATCAATTTCTATCAGTCATCTAACCATTCCTTTTATTTCACTTCACATTCTTAACCACTGCAATGAAGGCACAGACAGGAACCACGTACTGCATTTCGTGTCCATCTATGCAAATACGGCAGAATTCTTAAATTTAGGACATAAAACAGTAATTATAAATCTTTAACTAGAAGTGTCAATAAATACAAAACTTATTCTAAATATAAACATTACTACTGTAGGAGATTGAAGATAGAGAGCAAATGAAATCAGAATATGCTCCTAAAAGTCTAGGAATCAACATTTCATATTATCACAAATAAGTCAACGATACACTCAAAGTTGCCCCAAAGTACTGATGGACTCATTAGAATTTCAAGGTAAATTTCAGGGAAGAAAACGTATACTATTTTCTCTCCAAAGTTAACATCACTTATTTTGGATGTCTTTGCTCTACGGTTCTGACACTAAAATTAACCTGTGGATAGAAATGGGATTAGGTGGAAAGTGGTACTTATTTTCCTGTGGGTAAAGCCATCCTTTTAACCTCTCAGAATTCAACTGCGATGAATCTTCCCTCTGGAAACATCTATAAAAATCTGTAAATAACTTCAGAAAGTAGAGACTCCTTGTATCTAACTAGAATATGAGTTTTTTTTTAACAACCCTCTCGCCACTAGGCATCGAACTCAAGACCCTGCACTTGCCAGGCAGGCGTTGCTCTTGCCAGAAAGGCGTGGCGCCACTGAGCTACATCCCCGGCCCAACATGTCTCTAAAGTCTGTTTATACTGATTGTCCAGGGTAGATGTGAAACAATGAAACTGATCCAAAAAGGTGTATGCTCCAGTGCTACTTCTGATCTGGGTTGGAGATAGAGCCAAAAAGATTCTCTGCAGCTCTGCTAAATTACAAATTTCGCAGATTCTTTCAGAATTTAAGGATCTCAATTTGTGTTAAAATTTAAGGAGGCAGGCCTGAACTTGTGAGATAAGTTCTGTGCAGTAAACAAAGGTTACCCTTCACTTAATTCAGCTTTTTTGTGGTGGTAGTGGTGGTGGGGATTGAACCCAGAGCTCCATGCATGCTAGGCAAATGCTCTAACACTGAACTATGTCCTCAACCCTTAAAAATGTTCTGAATTTTCATTTCATGCCAGTGTTAAACTAGGTATATGGAATAGGAAGAATGACTCAAATATAATCCATGACTGCCTTTGAGGACTACAGATTCATGTACCCCGCCCCACTTTTGACAATTTAAAGCAGTGGTAAAAGCTATGAAAGAGGTGTGCACAAGAGTGCTGTAGAAGTTCATCCTGAACCAATCAATGATCCCTATCATATCCGGAGAGCTTTTTCTGAGGAGGCAAAAAAGAAGTTGGATCCTGAAAGGCCTTCTAAGCCTCCACCATAAGCTGGGACAATTTTCATTCAAACTAGTAGCATGTATCAAACGTGAGCTGAATGCAACTTCATCTGTCAACTTCTAAAAAATGTTCTCTTTATCTTTTACTTTCTATGTGATTTAACTCCTTTATCAGGAAGGAAAGCAAGGCCTGCCCTGGAGAAGCAGATCCAACAAAATCGTTCAAACCATTGACAGAACTGGAGCAGATCTTATCGTCTTCCTCCCAGTGTAAAACTGCTTAAACTGTCCTAGCCAAACTTTTTGGTGACATGATCTAAGAGGATATTTGTAAGTAACAATGGTTTCCTTTTTGTGACTGTATCTAAATTTAGGGTTTACATAAGAATTAAGTGAAAAATGTCTTGAACTCTCAAAGAGAAAAGCAGCACATCCTATCAATCTAAATAACAATGAAAACAGAACAATACTAAAAATGGTGATGTGAAACAAAATTTTAGGTTTTATAGGTTCAGCAATGATTTTTTTCTGGTATTTTTGGTAGCCATGATCCATGTGATATAATCATTTCTATCATAATGAAAAACTCATACTTTAATCATGTAAACTCATATTTCTAAAAATAAAAAGCATCAAAAATGTATTCATTTTAGTGGTTTACAAATATATTGCTAAATACATGACTACTTACTGATCTGATTCCAGGTAAATTTAAGAGGGATCCAAGAACTGGCACTCTTCTAATAAAGCCAACAACCACAGGAAAGAAGCCCCTGAGAGACAGAAAAAAAGCTCTCAGCACAGTAAAGGAACTTCAAACTTAGAATCACAAATTACTGCAAATGCAAACATTTTTGATTACTGGAAAAATGTGAGTAGAGGGTAATGAGATGTAGCTGTGTCATATGCTCAGATTATGAGTTACCTCAGTTCAACCGCCAAAGATTTCCAACCTTAATATTCTGTATTCTGCACTACAGCAAGCGCCTCTGAACTGGCTTCCTTGCCTTTAGTTGTTCCTTTTTCAATACACAATTTACCCCAATATTAGAACAATCCTTTTAAAACACCAGTCTGGCTACACCACTTCTAACTTAAAAATCTTTGTGCTCCCTACCCATCCTCAACATTGTTCAGATTTGTTAAGAAAACAAAGTAACAAGTCACTGAAAGAAAGTCTACAATGTCCGGCCTTCCCTTTTACCCTCACTGCGGACCATGCCCTCTCAGTCACCCCATGTTGCTGTCTTGCTGGACTGGTCATTCTGTTTAATAAAGCTGTGTATGTTCCAGATCCTTTCTACTCTGTCAGCCAAATGTTCTTTCTGTCTTCATCTATGGGATGGATTCTTCTTATCCACTGTTTAAGGTCTCGTTTATCAGTTAATTTTTCTTACCTCTGTCTGATTTTATTCTTCCCTTAATTATGTTATTGGAGCACCTTACACGTACCCTTATAACTGTATCCTACTGGTATCTTTACAGTCTCTTCTCCACATTAGAAATGAGAAATTCCCTAAAGCAGCTGTGGCACTTAATTACTTTTTATGGCTGTTGTGTGTAACATACCCAGCAGAAGGCAAAGGCTATGGATTTCCTGAATAACGAAGGCCAACTAAACTTACAGGTACTTTAAGTATTCTAAGTACTTTAGGTACTCTAATAGATATCATTTTGTATTTATACAGTACCTTCTTCAAGAACCTTAAATGCTTTACAGACATCAATTTTAATTAATCTCCACAACAACCCTGTGAGGTAGGTATTACTCCCATTATACAAGACAGGGAGACTGAAGCACAGAGAGGTTAGGTGACTTGCCCAAGGTCACACAGTTAAGTTCACAGAAGAGCCAGGACCTGAGCACTTAGCCTCTTAGCTCCCAGCCAAATATCTCACGAGAGACTCTTTAATGAAAAGTATCTTTAAAATAAAGTATCAAGAGAAGCATGTTATGAAAATGAAGTATTCCTACTGCCATCAAAGAAAGAAAACAACCTATAGTGATGGTTAGAAGCCATGAGACCCATGTAGTACAACATCTTCCCTCCCCTTTCCTAAGCCTCCTGTAACTGGTAAAATTTCCAAGACAGAAGCCATAGGATTTAGAAGTGGAACTTAATTTAAAATATTTACTTTTAGTTAAGATAATTTATAGAAATCTTTATTCCAATATACAAAATATGAGACAGCTATCCCAACAAATATGTACATAGTTAAACAGCAATCAGCCCCATTTACAATTTTAACCTGCCCCTCATTTTGTTTTTTGGTACCGGGGATTGAACTCGGGTCCTTGCACTTGCAAGGCAGGCGGTGGCACCACTGAGCTAAATCCCTGGCCCTGCCTGACCCTCATTTTAATCACAGCCAACCCACATACAACCTCACAATGCTTTCTAGATGGGCCACTTTTCTTACTTTTTATGCCTGTATTTTTATTAGTCCAACCATAACCTTAGATATTTTAAAAGTACATCGGGTTTCTGATAAGCTTCAAAGCATTTTACTTATATCCAGCTGCACAAAGAGAAAAAATTAATTACAGGTAGTTTTGCACATGCATATTGTTTATTTACTGCTAACTAGCATTTCAAAGTATTACTTGACCCAAATCTCTCACAGTGTATTTGGTACAGAATTGTCTATGTAGATATACTAAACAAACTGCCATCAAATGGACTGCCATTTGAATTATGAAGTATTAGGTTTTACATACTAAAATTCTGGATCTATCACTGTTCAATTCATGAAAATATCAAGCAAAGACTGCCAATAAAATGGTTTTTATTGCACTGAAAATACAAGATAGTTTACCCTTATTCAGACAAGCATTTATATTTGATAAATGTTTCTATAGTGGACTGATGTAAAACTGTAATAAAAAATTCAAGTGAAACAAAAATTAAATGTTTTTATAGCAATTACTGATATGCTAGTTTATTACAAGAGAATATAAAATGACTGTCTTACCTGAACAAGAGAAAGAATCCATAAATTTCGAAGATCATGCCTATCAAAGGCCAACCAATAAGGACTACAAACACACCACCCAGGAAAAATCCTGTTGCTTTCATTTTATGTTTTTGGAAGAAGAATCTGAATGTTCTTTCTAAACCAATTACAAAAGCCAAGCCAGCCACAAATAAAACCTAAGAGAGAAAATGCAACAGAGAAAAAGTAGTTAAACACACTGCATAAATTTGTAAAGGTCAAAGCTAAACATAACAAAAAGAAGCACATTTGTTTGGCTTTTAATGTGGGCAACTGGCCAGAGAGAATTTCAGTGCAACACCAAGAGGTAGAACCAAAGAGTGCGTTAAGCATGTTAAAGTTGTAGTTGTGTTCCACTTCTTCAAGGCTTCTATCTTGATTAAATGGAGAAAAACAAAATATAGATGGGGTGTTACCAATGGGCACCTGCCTACATTTGCAGTAGTTTCCCCAGCTTTTGCTGGATGGGGATGGCTTAGACCAGCGGATGAGCGGGTGAGGCACCTACAGAGTGGCTGCCCATAAATATGTCACCCAAAAGTACTTCTCCTGCCTCAGAAATATCTACCATGGGCTATGGGAGTATCTACAGATGGGAGAAATAAGGATATAGGTAAACTGATAGCAGAACCAACACTGCAAAGACAGGAGAAGATTCTATGTTTATTAATACCAGAATATCTGGTGGCAGCAGAAACAAAAATACAACTGGATATTAAAAAGTGCTTGTATATTTTGTATATTTTCATGGATGTGGTTAAGAAATGGTGATTTACTAAAACCTTACCTCTTCCTGTGTTTACCTGCAAATATTTCTCTCCTCAATTAACTTTCTTTAGTGAAAAATATTTCAGTGATATACGAGCCCACTGATTAAACTGTTTATGTTGCCATTTATTAAAACATGAATAACTGAATAATTTTGCTATCCCTTGTTTTTCCATATTTCCAACTAAATATCTGACTGAATGGTAACTGTGCTTCAATAGATGTTTAATCACTATTCAGTGACTTTATTATCTTCTTAAAAGTTACACTTCTGGATTTCTTGCATAACTCCTACACCTGGATAGTGTACCACACATTCCAAATAAACAGTACTCACTCCTTCTAAGCAAGTCAGCTAATAACAGAGTGAATGGCTTTATAAAAGATTTAACAGATTATTGAAATCTGTTTATGTATTTCAATCAAAGGTGAAGTCTTCCTTTTAACATTTTAATACATTTACCAAAACAAAGAACTATTAAGTCATAGATTTTGAACTCCTATTTAGAGGTAGCCTTCATTTAATGTATTATAAATCACATAACAGACACTTAACAGGGTGATTATAGAATTAGAAAAAAACTCATTGAGTGTTTCTCTTACTTGTTTTTGTTACCGGGGATTGAACTCAGGCCCTTGTGCTTGCGAGGCAGGCGGTGGAACTACTGAGCTAAATCTCTGGCCCTGCTTCTCTTATTTGAATGGAAAGTTAACAGATTTTACTTGATGGAATAGAAACATATAATAGTAATTATACATGAGTAACAGTGAATTATTTCTCCCAAATCTGACAAAAGGTAGTAATTCATTTGTAGTAAAAACTTCATGAATTTAGTAAAACTATATATTCAAAAACTTACATTTCCAATAGCCAGTAGTGCTTTGTCAAAAAAGAGAATCATTCCAAAGAACAGGAAAAACACTCCAAATCCTGTTAATCCCATTCCAATTTCTGCAATATAAGTTACATGGTTAAGGGTAGAGAAAAATTAAAGTCATACCTGTAAACTACCTAAGAAAAATTTTCAGTTTTTCTTTTGGCTAATATAAGGAAATATGTCCCCAACACTGTTGGTTAATGTTATGACATTCATAAAGATCTACAGCAAATTGGGCTGGGGATTTAGCTCAGTGGTTCCACTGCCTGATTTGTAAGCGCAAGGACTCGAGTTCGAGCCCTGGTACTAAACAGATCTATAGCAAATTAACATCAGTAAATTACCTAGGAAGTTAAAAATATGAATGGAAATTCCTCACCCTTTTATGAGTACTTCTCAGAGATGTACCAGACTAGAAAACATAAGCGAGGATTTTAAACCTTTGGCTGTATTTTTTCCCCCTTCTAAGAAACTCTAGCTTTAGACATAAATATACTGCATAGGTGTATTTACCTCCTTTCACATCCTGTGATTATATTTATGCACAGTATTTGTAGTTTTCACTTATCCTTCTTTTTTTTTTTTTTTGTATCGGGGATCGAACTCAGATGACTGCTTGTGAGGCAGCCACCGGAACCACTGAGCTAAATCCCCGGCTCACTTATCCTTCTTAAAGTCAATTCTCTCTTAGAAATGCTACGGTAGGTCACCACAACATACTGTACAGTAGTTCAATTATATACTGCTTCTCACAGAAGCATCAAGAAATATTTTGAGAATTATGGTAGCAAGTGTTTTAAAAGCTACTTTTTAGAAGGTTAGGTATCACTTTTAACTTTGTAAAGACAGGCTCCCCAGTCTTACCCAGGTAGCCTAGAGTTAACCTTCCAAGAGTGAGGTGTATGCCACTGAGCCGGCCCACCGTATCTTCTCGATGGCTTCTTACAAATTCACCATCTGCAAATTTTTCCTAAACTATAAATCTGTTCACATGTTTAAATCTAGAGCCCTAAAATCACTGCTCCGGAGAACACCATTTTACCTAATATTTGCATTCTAGATTTTTTTTCCTCTCTTTTACGTAAAACCAAAGAATTGTTGATCAACTGCTTGAGGTCAGGAACTGTTTTAGGCACTGAATATACAGTTGTAGATAAAAGTACAAGCTTTGTAGTCTGTGTTCATCTGCATATAAATTGATAGTTTTATTGCCTTACATTCTCTAAGTCTCATCTTTCTAGCTCAAAATGTCTGAACTTTCTAAAGTGATATACTTTTTTGTGAATGCTACAAATCACAACCCACTAAAAGCTACCTCTCTGAACATTTTAGTTGTTGTTTCAGGAGATGATGAGCTATCGACACTGATTTTATCTAGAAGCACTATCTGCATACAGATAATGACTGAGAAAATGCAATCATATTTTTGAAAACACAACATTAAATACACTTTTAGTGATTTCTAATCTGTCTAATCTAACTTTTTTGCCTCCACTCCAGAAAGCTAAAATCTAGGTCACAGCTAGTTAAGCTGTACAGAAATGTTCTGATGACTTGAAATTTTATAACAACTTTACCTTTTCAACCTCTCTCATCTCAATTTCCTGATGATTTACTATCTTTCATTCTAGTCGTGATTTGCTCCTATAGTCTAAAAGAACTGAGGCACCTGTTCGTAAATACACCAAATTAAAAGTACTTCACAGACACAAACAAATTCCAACAAAAGTGTGAGATGATACTTTCATGCCTAAAACCTTAAAGAATTTACCAAAATAAGGATTTAAAAATTAGATATAATTTCCTGGAGGAAAATATGGCTACAACAGCAAGTAAAATTTTAGTAAATATCTAGTAGTTAAGGTTTAATCATTACACCTGACTTATTCAAACATAAATAATTTCTACTTTTTTTCACAAATAATCTTAGTGATAGCATAAACATTTTGAGATGTTTGATCACCAGAAAGGAAATTATATAGAAACATAACTACTACGTACTGAGAATTTACCATGAATTAGGCATTCTGAGGTATTTCACAGAGCTTTTATAATTCAATCCTCCTAACACTACTGGAATGTAGGCACAATCACATCAGTTTGCAGATGGAAGACAACACTGAAAGTTAGACAGCGGACTTAAGACACCCAAAGTCACAATTCTGGTGAAGAATTTGAACCAGGTCTATTTGAACTCAAAGTCCACTATAAAATACTTCTACCCACAGGATTTTTTTTTTTTCCAGTTTAATTATGTTTGGTCAAATATATGTCAAGGGCACTGGAGTATACCGAAATTCTGAGGGAAGCACATTTAAGTGATTCAAATTTAAAATTAGTGTATCATCTAAACAAGTAGGTGCCAGAACTATTAAAAATGGGCTGCATTGAAAAAGGACAACGTCTGCAGTTGGTCTGTCACTTAAGTGTTTATACAAGTATCTCGTCATGTCTTTAACATAATTGTAAGGTTAAAAAATAGCAATGGACCCATGTTTCATATGAGCAACCAAGGACCGGAGAGATGAAGTAACTCATCTGTGATCCTTCAAGCAGCAGAAATATGTGTGTGTGGAAGGTGGTGATGTGGAATCAGGCTAGAATTCACATCCAGTCTTCTCAGTCCACAGCCAGTGATCCTAAAACCACACAGGAACCACAACATTCCATTATGTTATCCAGCGAAAGTCAGGAGGGGACAGTTAGCTGCTTGTAATACCTCCGCCAAAACTGACACTGGCCTTATATTGTCAACTATCCCCAGATATGAATGAGTCAAGATTCAAACTAGCCTCATTTATGCCCCTCTCTCATCTCCAGAATTTCCTTCTTCCCTGTCTTTATTCATTTATAAACTTTCTGGCTGTCGAAAGTCCTACACAGAGCTGCCTTCTCAGTAACATCACATCCAGTAAAAGAAATTTATTTTGTATGTACTCTTGTCTGTAAATTAAAAAAAAAAAACTGATAAATGCAATAAAAAAAATAAAACCAACTATCAAATATAAAAGCCTATTGTGGGAATTTTATAAGAAAAGATATGCGTAATCCAGTGGTAATCACATTTTGTTCTCTTATTCACAACTCATTAAGAGCAACACTGTCTTTCTTACCATTTAAAAACAGAAGTCCTGAAAAGAGAAGTTAAATGAGTATCAATTGTACTGAATAATTCAATTGAATACATGGTAGATTTTATCCTGTGTGACAACCTAGATGCAAATGGGGGCATCCTCCATCTCATCCCGTTAAATAAATCATGGCTTTTTCTTTTTATTTCTTTTCTTTTGTGGAGTGGGGAAGAGTCCAATTATAGAATCCTTTAAAACAATCAGGAGCTGCCATTTATTCTACTCTGATCAGTGCTTGGTCACCCTCTTCTAGAACTGAAATCCCAGAATAATCTTGGCAAATCGCTTGAATGCTGGCCAGTCCTTTGCAATTAAACACAGACAAATAAGCACAACACGAAATTCAAAATCTTTTGGCTGACTAATCATTCATTATGTTTCAATCCGCTGTCTCACCTAAAACAGTAAATGAACAGCAAATAGAAAACTTTCATCTTTTTCACAAATTTAATAAAGTGGAAAGGCTTCCTCTTCTGTCCATGGTACAATCCTACCCCTTGTTTTGGTTTTTCTTAAGGATGTAAATCAGGCATTCATCTCCTAAGGCTTTAATAAAAGAGAATCTCTATGTACAGGGTAATTCACATTTTCATAGATAATATTACAGACTCAGATCATTGTAAGACCTCAGAGTTTTTATTAAGACTTCTTAGATGCTAGTTTTTGAGCCAGCAGACATTCAGGCAAATACTGAAATACTGTTTTCTCTTGCCCCGCCACCCCTTCTTTTTTCTTTCTCCTTTTTCCCACCCTGTGGGTCTGGGGATGGAACTCAAAGCCTCGGCACTGAGCTACATCTCCAGTCCTTGCTATCTGTCTATCTGTTGTCTCACTTAATTGCCCAGGCTGGACTCAGATTTGCAGTCCTGCCTCAGCCTCCCGGAGTACCCCACTTGTTGTTGTTGCTGGGGTTTGTTTTAATAAGCATGCATCTAATTTCTTCTGTGCGTCATTTAATTTAAAAAATGGGTTGCTTTACCTTTTAAGGCTCATTTAGGAATCACATGATTTATATGAAAGCATACAGTAAAGTTAAAGAAATTACCTTTACACAATTGCTAGTAACTGAAGATTTTAAAAAAGGAAAGGAAGACTACACTTACATTTTATCTTCTATGATTACAATGAAGCCAATGAAAGAAAATGTACCAAAATGGACAATCTTTCTTGGCCAGAGCTGGTGGTCCCAAGATCCGGACCCAGTTCAAACTCAGGAATGAGAGCCTGATTAGGGTGGCAGTGTGTGTGGGAGACCTTACAAACTGGAGTTCAAGTCTGCCATGTTTGACTCTAAACCTTATGACTCCACTTTAAAGCAAAGCATTTTAAATGAAGCACTTCACCGAACTGTTTAACTCATAAAGTTTTGAAAATCTGGGTTAACAGGAGTAAGAAACGAAAGGCATGGCAGGCAAAACAAGGTGAGACAAAAACCACGACCATCAAAACATGAAGCAGCACTGAGTTCGGGCAGATATATAAATACACAAAGAATTAAGATCGACAAGAAGGGGCTGAAAAGTGGATGCTGTATCGAAGGAAAAGGAGACAGACCACAATGCTAACCTTAAGAGAGCAGAAAGACCCGGAGAACTCTATGGCAGGCAGAAAGGGACGCTAAAATAATAAAACAAGCCACCAAGCACAACTACAATATTAAGGGAAGAAATCGTCGAACAAAAATAAAGTGGTTTTCCACTACTGAGGGAACCTTCGGCGGGTAGTAAAGTGAAGGCACTGCGCAGAATTTCTGGAAAGTTGCATCCAGGCGTGGCAAAAGTCAAATATAGGTGGCGTGACCCAGAGGCCCAACTGAAGCTCCCGCTCCCCAGCTTGGGCGTCCCACCCAGCCCAGACTTTCGGCGGGCCGGGTCCGCGGCTGAAAGTCCAGCCCCGGCCCCTCCGGCTGCTCTCCGCTCCCGGCAGCCCTCGCTCGGTCTTGCAGGCCGCCGCCCCCAGCGCGGAGGTTCATTCATTGATCCAGGCGGAGGGAGCGGCGGGCGAGACCCAGCCCAGGCTAGCGGTGTACGGGGCTCTAGGCAGGGAACACGGGGACAAGTGCTTACTCTGGGTATCTGTTAAGGAGATCATGGTTGCAGCGGTGAGGCCGGCGCCGGCGGCACCTCGGAACGCCCAAGGTGGGAAGCTCAGTGGACAGAAACGAAGCCAGGATGCAGCCCGGGAGAGCCGCCACGTCTTCCGGAAACACGCAGTCGCCCACACCCTAACTTCAAGCCAGCTTTCTATTGGCTGATCGTGCTCCCTCTGTCAGCCAATAACATATGGTCTTGTTCGATGACGCTCATGCTGGCCACACCCTCTGGCTAATTAGAGAAGGTAATTGCTTGCGATTGGCTGAACGGAACGACCCGGAAGGGTGGATCCCGTGGGCTGGGTGGCGGGAAGGTTTTGCTGGAGAGCGTCTGAGCTAGGTTTGTAGCAGTACAGAGGCTCCGGCCTCTAGTTGGAGGCTGGTTGTCAGAGGCTACTCCTTTCACCCTATGGATAGAGATGGTGGGGTAACTCCTGGTACAGCTTGGAGGAGCCGATTGCGTGGCGCTCCTTCTTTGATCTTTTCCTCTCCTGCCTGAGAGCGAGGCCCGTACATACCGGAGCACTTCTTTCCCCCTGTACTTTGGCAGGGGAGAAATCGGTGCTTGAGTCGTTGCTCAGCCCCTGGTGGAACTTGGGCCTTTAGGGGGACTTTCGCTTGCCGACCGGTCCCTTTTTCTCTCCAGACGTTTCTGTTTGGTAACAGGCATAGTTTACTGGGAAATACCACGGAGGGTGCTTCTTCTGTCCTCTGCTTCCATCCTGCAATAGTGAAAGGAAGGGTATTATTAAGTTATTGTTGACGCTAAATGCAGGTTGTGAGGATTTGAAGGATGTGGTTCTGGTTTAGCCTGTTGTACCACGGACTCTTTCCTTCACTATTGATGGCAGCTGTCCCTCCACACATTGTGTTTTTTAAACTCCTTGTGGATAACTTGCTCAGGCTTCTGATTTACAGACTTAAGATAGCTTATTAGTTATCGAATATACTTTTGAGATATCTTTTGCTGTCCAATTACATAATTTGTGGAAGGATCAGTCTTTTGACAACCAGAGAGTCTTTTTAGGGAAATCTGGATATAAATCATATTTTTTCATGAGAGTAGAAGTAGCCCCTGCTTCAGTGACCCTGCACCAAATGCAAGGCACTTTGCTAGGTTCTGTAAATACACAGATGAAGTGACTCAGTCCTTGCCCTGCTGGAGGATTTTACAATCTATAGAAGGAATATTACATTTGTAGGGTGAAGTTCTTGTCTACTTACTTTTAGTACTTGGCTATTCTGTTACTGTTTAGCAAGACAAGAATGACTCAGCCAATCATTCTAGCTCGGTGGTGGCTTCAGAATTCTATGTTGGAGGGGCATAATTCTATATAGGAAATAGTCTGAGTAAGGGCAGGATGGTGGTGAAGCTTCTTTTGGAGAGCACTCTTAGTTTTAGACAATGTTGGTTGTCTTGCCAAAATCCAGAAAATTTTCCATTGTGAGAAGAATCACCTTTTAACAAGGTCATTACAATATACACCTTACTTTCTAACTTTTTTTCCTGTTTAATAATGACAGATTAGTGCTGATTGAGCATTGCCAGTAGTCCTTTTAGTAGTTGTTTCTGGATTAAACCCATGATTCCAAGCATGTTACACAGTCACTTTGCTTCTAATCAGTGTCACTAGCCCAAAGAAAAACTTGTCATGTTTGTTTTTTTTCACTTTTAGAAAGAAACTTGGATCTCCAATTCAGTTTTAGAAATGGCATCAATTTCAGGTTGGTGGAAATTATTCTTCTATAGTTCATTCTGTTCTATTTTGAATTATATGTGCTTTGATTAAATTTTTAAAAAATTCTTATTACAGAAATGATGTTTTCAGGTTATTATTATGGTAAAATATACCTAGCAAAATTAACCATTTAGTGATTAGTAAGTGAAAAAATTCATCAACACTTAGGACCTTCGCATTGTTGTGCAACCATAACCACTATCTGTCTCTGGAAGTTTTTCATCATCCTATACTGAAATTATCTATTAAAATTCCTCATTATCTCCTTTTCCTTAACCCCTGAAAATTACTATTCTTTTTTGCCTCTATGCATTTGACTGTTTTAGATACCTTGTGTACATGGACTCAAGTATTTTTCTTTGTGTCTGGCCTTCTTCCTGTAGCGCAGTGTCTCTAAGATTTATCCACTTTGTTATGTTTCAGAATTTCATTCCTTTTTACAATCCTTTTTTTTTGCTACCGGGGATTGAACTCTGGACCTTGTGCTTGCAAGGCAGGCAGCGGAACCACTGAGCTAAATCCCCGGCCCTTCATTCCTTTTTAAAGTTAACAATGTTTCATTGTGTGCTATATATACATTTTGTTTATCCATTCTTTTGTTGATGAACCTTGGCTTTTTTTTTTTTTTCCACCTGTTTGCTGTTATGAATAATGCTGCTATGAGCGCTGGTGTAGAAACATTGACTGAAGTCCATTCCTTCAATTCTTTTGGGTGTATAGTGAATCAGAATCGCTGAGTTATATGGTACTTGTATGTTTAGCTTTCTGAGGAACCGCCCTATTGCCATAGTGTGGCTGAATCATTAGCAATGCTCAAGCGTTCCCAGGAAGATGCTTTTGATAGACTTGTAGGAACCTAAAAAAGTATGAATAAGAAAATATAAATCACTTCTACTCCTACTACTCAAATTAATGATCTTAGCTTTAGTTACATTATTTTTCAATAAAATTTAAAAAATTCCTACATACTATTTTATGTGCTTTTTAATACATAATATAAAAATTGAGCTGAGATATATTGTGAAATAAACTCTATTATTAGTTTATTCTGTTTTTAACCTGTGTACTGTTTTGACATGACCTTATTTATTTACTTAATCTTTTAGCCAGCCTACATTTTTTTTTTCTTTTTTTGGTACCGGGGACTTAACTGTGGACTTTGCATTTGCAAGGCAGGCAGCAGCACCACTGAGCTAAATCTCCAGCTCCTTCATTTTTTTTTTTTTTAATATCAGCTTGATCAGTTTTTTGATACATTTTAGGCAAACATAATGATAACACTCATCATAGGGAATTTGCACCTGTACATGATATGTTCTGCTTCTTTTTTCCCATTTTTCTCTTTCCTCAAGCTCCCTTCCCTAAGTAAAGGCTTTGCTTACACTTTTTCCTTCTATTTTCTTTTTTCTTGACCCTTCCTTCCTTTCTCCTCCCTCCTCCCTTGTTTTCCTTCCCATTTGAACATTTTCTTCCCATTTCCCAATATCTCTTACACATTTTAGTCCTCATTTCCACATTTGGTTTCTCACATCAGAGGAACAATGTAGTATTTTTTTTTTTTGAACCAGGATCGAACTCAGGACCTTGCACTTGCCAGGGAGGTGCTGATGCCACTGCACTAAATCTCTGGCAATAATGCAGTATTAGTATTTAAACATGTCTGTCTGATTTATTTCACTTAAGAGTATGGTTTCAAGGTCCATCCAGTTTGTTATAAATGTTTGAAGCTCACCCTTCTTTATAGCAGAGTAGTACTCCATCACCTAAAAAAACCCACATCTTCTTTATCTGTTCGTCAACTGATGGGCGTTTGGGTTGTTTCTAAGATTGAGTTATTACAAACTGTTCTGCTATAAGCATGGGCGTGCACATATCATTGTGGTATGTTATTTTTAATTCTTTGAGGAAGATACCAAGAAAAGGAATAGCTTTGTCAAATGGACCCTCTAGTTTTAGTTTTTTGAGCAATCTCCACATTGATTTCTACAGTGGTTGCATCAGTCTGTACTTCTACCAACAGCGGAGAAGGGTTCCTTTTTCCCTATAGCCACTAGCATTGGTTATTGGTTGATTTCTTGATAACAACCCTTCTTTTTGTACTGTCTCAGTTTAAAAAATATAAATAATGCTGTATTGAACCAATTCAAATCTAAATCTTTGTGTGCTTCTCTGACCCTAAGGGGTGATCAAAATATATGATGACTGTTTAAATAAAAGTTAGTATAATAAAAAAAATGTTGATATTAATCTCCCTCAAAATACTTCCCCCTTCTTCAAACATTTGTATTCTTTCGCTCTTATCACTTCTTGAAGCAGTTCTGGAAGTCTTCTGAGTCTATAAGGTCTAAAAATGTGTAGTAGATGCTGCTGCTGAGGGCCACTCAATAGAAAGATGGGCTTGTAAAAACATTTTGGTGCACCCCCATCCGCTGTACTCATCAGATCTGGTGCTGGGAAACTTCTGGCTCTTCCCCAGAGTCAAAAAGACCATGAAAAGTAAATGTTTTGAATCGATTCAGGTCATAAAGGCAGCCCAATAGTGCAACTGAAGATGAACACTTAAGACAGTTTCCAGAAGTGGTAAGAATGATGGGATAAGTGTGTTCAAAGACAGGGGAGTATTTTCAGGTGGATTAATAGTGACGTGTCTTTTTCTGTAATAAATTTTTAAACATTTATACACATTGGTTGTATTTTTCATTCACACTTTATATTTCCTTAAGGTCAATTCCTAGGAATGGAGTTATTTGAAGACTTTTTTTAAGTATAAAAGAAAATCATGCATTATTTTACCTTTCCATGCAACCACTCTTTAGTATTTTGGTGTATTTCTGTCCATTATTTGTTTATATAAACTTCATGAGATTGGAATGTACTTACAAAACAGATCCTGCTATCTTAGGTTACCAGGTGGATAGCAGGGTAAGGAACTTATACTATGGTAAGTTTTCAGACTTTGGTGTGGTATAATGACTATGGCCATTGCCACATAGTACCTCTACCAGTGAGGTAACAAGATAGGGTTCTTTTCAGACTTAAAAAAAAGAAAATGTTACTGTTAAATGTGGAAGACTACCCATCATGCACAACACCCACAACTTTACTATTTATTTATTAATATGAATGCATGATGACATAAGATTTTGGCTTTGTTTCATGACTCATTTTCACTGGCTGAAAGTTAGTAATACATGGTAACAACTTAAATTGTGTTCAGTGTTGACCCAAGTAATCTTTACATCATGACAGAGATGTGACTTTAAGAGGTGCTGCTGAACACTGATCCTTTCAATATGGCCATTTAAAAACTTTCGTATGTTATTCTGCTAAAGGAGCCTTCAAGCTTTATCAATGAGATTTGATTTAAAAATAATTCAGTGATTAAATAGGTGTATTTTAAGAAGTTAATGCTTACCTTTTTTATTGTTCTACTTGTTGAACAATGCTTGAAATGCCTCTTTGAAATTCCTTTTGGTTTGTTGCTTTGGATTTGCTAGCTTCCTATGGGAGAAAGCCACATTCATTGTTAATTTCAGTTTGACGTATTGATAGAAAAGTATTATTTGTGAAGAATGGGATTTCCCTTGTATCTCCTATAAGCTTAGGACCACTGCAGTGTGGCACCACTCCATATGCTCTTGCGATGTAGTTGTAGTAATAATAAGCCCTGTGTACTTACAGTCCCCTTCCATTATAGATTGGTAAGAGCATTGATTTGGCTTTTAAATTTCACCCCCTATAGTAACTTATGTCTTATGGGCCAGCATTAGAAAAGGTATCATTCTAGACAATGTTAAGATACCCCGATTTATTATAGCTAGTTGTAGTTTCTTACATTCTTAGTCCACCAGGATTTGTCTAAGGTACGATGCTGATGTTGTTGCGTGGGTTCACATTAATGTTGTATCAGGTAAAATTTGATCAGAGAAACACTATGACTCTTATAAGGTCCGTACCATATGGATTAGTCTTTATGTGACTATGGGACATGGTTAAACTTTCTCTGCATGTGTTGTCTGTGTGTCTGGCACTGGATCTCAAGTTGGCAGAGCTAGAAGGTGGGAAGAGAAGATGGATATGGAATAGGGAAAGAAAGGACAAACTATTACCTATGCAGATGAACTTCTGTCTCGCACTGAAAGGTGTATTAGTCTCTCGTTGCCTCTAATCTAATTGCATTGATGGAAGAGACTAGTCCAGAGTGGGTGTACTTCACCGGGACATTGCATGCAACCTGATGCAGGACTCGGAGGAGTGGAAGAAGGAGGAGCCAGTCCTCTCTGGAGTTGCTGTAGACCCCGCACTGCTACCCCAAGGTTCTGCAACAGCAGCTGGAGTTGCCAGTGAGATCCCAGCTCTGACCCACACGGACTTGCTCTACTTAATTATGGGAGCTTTTTTTTTTTCTTTATTGCTTTTTTTGATGAGGAACCCAAAGTGGCCAAGTGGCCAAGTCCAGTTTGGTAGAACCATTGCCTGTTCCTCTGGTAGAAGCACTTCTTCCTTGATAACTGGAAAGTCAGCATCCAGAATTTTAGGGATGAGCAGCAAAAATTGAACTAGTGGGTTGGGGCAGTGATAAGAGGAGCTACTCCCATTTCCATCCCTGGATCCCATGCCTATGCATCGAGGCTGTGGGAGAAACAGCACTATTCAGTAATGTGTAGCACACCATATCCTGGAGGATACCACTTCAATATTTACGGTATGGTGGATACCATAATTGAATGTTCAAATGCCACTCCATTATCCTCTCAGGCCGACTGCTCGAGGCTATTAAACATGATGAGACCAGTGAATTCCATGAGCATGAGCCCATCTATTATGTTTTATTTGCTAACAAGTGAATTCTTTGGTCGGAAGCAATTTTATGTGAAATACAGAGACAATCCATTAGGTAGTCTGTAAATTCACAGATGGGAGATTTAGTAAAAGCACTGCTAGCAGGGAAGGCAAATCCACATGGAGAGTATACTCTTCTGTACCAGCAAGAAGAAAGGGCCCTTTTTCATCATAGAAGGTTATAATATAATCAGTTTGCTGCCAAGCATCTGGCTGTCCCCACAGAGAATGGCATCACAGTGGAGACTCAGGACTGGCATGAGCTATGTGTTGGACACTTAGCTGTATATGTGGACAGAGTGGCTTCAGTGCATGGCAGTCCATATTGCTGCAACATGGGCTCTTTGTTCTTGACCTCATTCTACAAGAACAGGCTAGCTAAGGATGAGGCTGCCTGATGTCCAGGTCATGTTGTTCACTTGATTAGGTAGGTTCTTTCTTTGTGGAGGTTATTTTTAGGGAGCAGTAACATGGCATACAAATGTCTTCACTCCTTGTGCCCATTTAGAGAGGTCTGCACATACACTTTTCCAAGACCTAGCCACCAGTTTTCTGCCGCCCATGTTCCTAGCCAATTCTTAGCTACTGCCAGTGGCTTAGTAATGGATCTATACCACTGGCAAAATGAAGAACTCTGTATACTACTTGAAGATCTGCCAACCGGGAGAGTTTTCCTTCCCTATTGTTTTTTTAGAGCCCCTCTGGAGGGGCACCGTGTTATTCAGTTAAGTTTTGGATAATGCCAGCACATACTGCAAATCTTCTGTAGGTCAAACCTGTGCTTTTTCCCTTTCTCAGACTAATAGTAAGGAGTTTGTTGTAGAGGATTCCAAAGGCAGACAAGGAGGAGACAGGATAGCAGGAATATGGTCCACACACGTTTGGACCATTTGCTTTTTCATACCTTCTGCCAAAGACTACTTGAACTCGCTTTTGCATGTACCACTCCCATTGTGATGATGGCAGTCTGCCTTACGAATTGATGGATCAGGTGATTCCTTCACAGTAGGCAGCGCAGATCACATGGTAACAGTCTTTTCTAAGACTCGGGAGCAAGCCAATTGTTTGTAAAAGGGGGATAGTAGTTACCTGTAGAGGGTAGCATAGCTTTGCCCCTAAATCCTAATTCCGTGTTGTGACTCATCTGTATACCAGAGGTGCCATATGACATCCCCACCAATCACAGACTTTTAAGTCACCATCAAGTCTGTTGCACATCTGCTTTATGGTAAGAAAGGATTGTATATCTGCTATTTCAGGGCCCTACTCCAAATGGGCAGTCTCTTGGGTCACTTAGCAAATGAAGCCTGTATTGCTTCTCAAATCCAAATAGTCCCACTGGGCTTTGTGTGTTCCTTTCTTATTACTAAGAAAGGATGTGGAAACTTGTCCTTCACCTTGAAGGGATGCTTCAACATCCCCATACCCTTTGACTCCTAGAAATTTCACCAAGATGGCAAGCCCGTGAGTTTTTATGGAACGTATCCATCTCTGATATGTTTCTGTCATAATAGATTTGTGTAGAATAGCTGCTTCTTGCCCAGCAAGTCAGATAAGCCCGATGTCATCTGTGTAATGAGCCAGGGTGATGTCTGTTGGAATGACAGTCACAGTCCCTGCAGATTGGAATAGGACTGAAGGGTTACGAAGCTCTGAGATGGGATTGCTGGCCCTGCAGACTTCCTCTGGTGAATGCTGAGCAAGCATTCAGCAGATGAATAGCTGCAGCACACTGGGGAGGTGTTGGGGTCCATCGGTGAAATCACACATGAAGCAGCAGTTGCTTTGGGAACCACAACCTCATTCATTCTTCCATTGTCACTGTCAACCTCTAGGATCCATTTGTCTTCTGCACAGGGAACATGAGTTGCATGGAGGAGGAGTGTTGGAAATCATTAAGTTTTTGATGGAGACAATAAATCTCTGTAAACCCTACAGAAATGCAGTCATGGTTTGGTGTATAGTATTGGTAGGTAAAGGCAGTTCTACGGGCTTCCACTTGACCTTTTCTAGTTGTTCATAATTAGTGACTCCATACCATGACACCGTAATAGGCAAAATATAAATGTGTTTATGAAATAGCTAAGTAACTAGGGAGCTAGTTTTATTTTGCTTCATAGTCAAGTCACTTTCTTTAGGTGTAATACATGAGATTGTTGGACTGCTTCTCTGTGACATATTAAAAATAGTAACTATGAATTATTAAATTTTTAACCAAGTACCAAATACTTTTGTCAAGAGCTTTCAATGTTGTCACATTTAATTTTTTCTAATATTATGGAAGTTATAAAATGTCTGTATTTTATAAGAGAGGAAACTGAGGTGCAGGTAAGTATCTTGCCTGAAACTTCTCAACCCAAGGTTGGACCCCTGTCTCTGTGCCTCCAAAGTACATGGTCTCCGCCACTCTGCTAAACTACTTTGTTTAGATGACGGAGAACATCGAGAGATCAATAGGGGAACTCACAATTAACTCTGGGCTGTCATGGTTTCTTTCTCCTCCCTGCCCTGTAGCTCTAACTGAGGAACTGGATTCTGTGACCAATGAGTTGCATGCAGTAGACATTCAAATTCAAGAACTTATGGAAAGGCAGCAGGAGCTTCTTCAAAAGAAATCAGTCCTATCAAAGAAAATAAAACAATGTTTAGAGAATTCAGATGCTGGGGCCAGCCAAGAATGCGATTCTTCCCCAGCTGCTTGGGATAAAGAAGGTTTGCTTTTTTTTTTTTTTCTTTGCTAGTTTTGTTAGTTCCCTTTAAAAAAACAAAAAACAACTAGAATTTAGGTTATTCTGCATGGCTCAGTGCTTTCTAATAGGCATAGGTGTAAAATATTGGAGTGGAAAACATAGAAGCAGCTCATTCTTTGCCTGTATTCTGTAGTCTTTAAGCATTTATTGTATGGGCTTTATTTTTTCCAAAAGTGGTTTTAACAACATTGATCACTGTTTGAAAAATAAGATATTTACTGTAACTAAATTTTCCAAGTTTTAACTAAAAAACAACAAAAAAACTCTTTAAATTATTCGCACATCTTGCCAAAATCTTGCTTATTTTCCTGCCATAGTGAACAAACCATTCTTGATTAATTTAAAATCTTCAGTGAATCACTATGTTTGTCATTTATTATAACAGTGCTATAATTCTAGAAGGAGTTGTGGTGCTTTTTGGAGATTCTTTTCCGGTGATTGTCTTCTAAACGTAAAATATTTACACTAAAAGCTTCACATATTTGTTAAGATATTTCACTTTTTTATGATACTAGAAATTCGCTGTTCGTCATTCAGGCTGTTCTTCAAATATCCAGTTGAACATCTTTCTCCTGTGTGGGTGAATTTTTAACTGGCAAATGTTTCCTTTTTTAATGTACTGTTTACTAATATATCATTTCTTTTGCTTTTGCTTTGCATAGCTTATTAAGTTGCACTAATCTCAAAATTATTATTACCAAAGTTTAATTTAAAGGTTTTAAAACATTAAATCTCTTAAGAATGTGTGTGTTTTGTATGCTACAAGAACAATTATGTTTGTTTCTCACTTGAAATCCTAATAGTTCTAATATTTTTAGCTTATTTTTTCTCTCCCTAGACTTTCCGTGGTCTGATAAAGTTAAAGATGTTCTGCAAAATGTCTTCAAATTACAGAAGTTCAGAGCACTTCAGCTTGAAACTATTAATGTGACAATGGCTGGAAAGGAGATATTTCTTGTTATGCCTACTGGAGGTGGGAAGAGCTTATGTTACCAGTTACCAGCATTATGTTCAGATGGTACGTATTAATAAGAGGGGATTTTAAGTTGAAATGATTTTCCTAATATTTTAAAATTGTTTTCAAACAAATTCCCAACTTAACATGTAAAAATCAAGTGCATTTTTGTTTTATTTGCCTCTACATTAATAGAGCTTACATGCTGAAATAGGTTATGGTGGAGAAAGAACTTATTTAGAAATGGAGATAAAAAGAAGATGATGAATTCAGTTTGGGACATACTAAATTTACGATGCCTCTGAGACATCGAGGCGGAACTGCCCTGTGAGTGAAGAATGTTTGGGTCTTAAGCTTGGGTGAGAGAGATCTAAGTTAGATGAATTGGAGACTCTTAGTGTGAAGATGGCCATTAAAATCATGGGAGTGAATTATTTCATTTTTTATGTTAACAATAAAAAATGGTTTGGAAGTGAATAAGAGTTGAAGATGTGGAACTAGAAAGTGTGGGGCACTCTTTGGTATAGAATGAAAAAGAAGAGAAAGTGCCATGAATCAGGTGCTGTTGTACTCTTGAGTTGCTATAACAAAATATTTTAGACTGGGTGACTTATAAACAACAGAAGTTTAGTGCGGACAGTTTTGTCATTGGGGAAGTCCAAGATCAAGGACAAGCAGATTTGATATCTAGTGAGGGCCTATTTTAGATGGTATCTTTGTGCTGTATCTTCATAGAAAGGGCTTCCCCTCTACTTCTTTTATAAGGGCATTAATCAGATCCCTAAAGGCCCATGACATCCTCATGAGTAAGAGGGCAGTAATGACAGAGAAAGTGAAAATATAGGAGAGATAATAATTGAGTGGCCAATATCCCTGGTAAGTTCATAATTTATGTATGTATTTTTAAATATCTGCCTTTTGTCAAGCTGTTGTAAGGAGCAAACTACAGAAATGTAAAGCCATTTAATTTTTACAATTTAGAATATCTCATAGTTATAACAGCCTCAGTTATGAGAGAAGGAACATATTATCTTCAGTCAATACAATTCACTTATTTCTACTCAGACTAAATTAGTATGGTACAAAAAGTAGAATACCCTTGCAACTAACTAACATTCTTAATTATATAATCAGTTGTTTTCTTTTGGAAAGCTTTGGGATGATTTTTCCCTGGTGTAACTGTTTAGTATTTGACTTGATTTATATTAATTTACAAGATTACAAATAATGATTGTTAAAAATGATAGCAAGTTAATTTCTCAAAATATTTACATCTAAGTTTATTTGTATAGGACCAAATAAGGATAGAAAGTTGTGTTTATTTGCTTGCTATAAAGTTCTTATATTTGCTTATTAGTTTATATATACTCAGGTCCTAGTTACTTCCTCAATGCTGGGACAAAATACTTAGCATCCACAAATTAAAGGAGGAAAGGTTTATTTTAGCTCATAATTTGTAGAAGTTTCAGTCCATTGTTGTCTGGCTACAATACTAGGTGGCAGAGCATAGGAGAATGGGAGGAGAAACAGTCCATGGCAGACAGGAAACAGTTAGCTTTCCTTTTCCTTTCATCCAATCCAGGCAGCAAGCCTATTGGTTGATGCCACTGACACTCAGGATGGGCCTTCCCATTATCCACATCTATGCTAAACCAAAAAGTGGACTAATTTAGATATCACATGTCTTTAATCCATATTCACACACTCTAGATCCAGCTATCTCTGAAAAGCCCCAAATATAAATGCATGAAGTTTTGGGGGGACACCTAGATACAAGCCACAATACTTTGTTTTGTCATTTATTCATATCTATCCCTTTTTAGTGAGGGTATGAAGTAGGTAGTATATTGTTAAAACTGCATTGAAAATTTTCTGAATTTATGCATAATTCCTACAAATTACAGTAAAGAAGATAAATGGTCACAGCTCATTCTGTTGGTAGTATAAAGTTTAAGGTCAATTCTTTTTTTCTTTTGTAGGTTTTACACTTGTAATTTGCCCATTGATCTCTCTTATGGAAGACCAATTAATGGTTTTAAAACAATTAGGAATTTCAGCTACCATGTTAAATGCTTCTAGTTCTAAGGTATGAATTTTGTTTTGTTTTTCTTTCTTTAAAATTTTAACTCTTGACTGAGATAGGAATCATAGTTACAGTTGAGTTGCCTGTAAAATTATAAGCTGTTAAGTATTTATATAAGGAGTTACAAACTACTGCTCATGAGCCGGTTTTACCTCACTGCCTATCTTTGTATGGCCCATGAGCTAAGAATGATTTTTATATGTTTAAATGGGTAAAGAGAATTTTTAAAAATGTAGTATTTTGTGAACTGTGAAATCATGTGCAATTTATATTTCAACGTCTATAATACAATATGACAGGAACACAGCGATGCCCATTCATTTACTGTTTTGTATGGCTGCTTTCACACTATAACGGTAGAGCTGAATGAGTAGTGATAGAGACCTTGTAGCCCAGAAAACATAATATTTACTATCTGGCACTTCATTTGCCTATATATTTAGTAGTATCTATCTTAAAATAGAATGGAAGGCCAGTTGTGGTGGTGCATGCCTGTATTCCCAGCACTTGAGAGTCTGAGGCAGAATCTCTGTGAGTTTGAGGCAAGTCTGGGCTGCATAGTGAGCTCAAGGCCAGCCTAAGATATATAGCGAGACCCAGTCTCAAAACAACACCATCACCACCAGCCAACCAACCAACCAAACAAAAAAACTCCAAACAAAATAGAAAGGAAAAATTTCTGTTGTGCAATCTAGTTAAAAAAAAAATTAACTACAACAAGCACACACTATTTGTGAAATTTCTATTGTTTGGAATAGACTATATCACCCTAATCTGTAGAATGGAGCATTTTGCAGCTATTTTTCTTTTTTAAAAAAAAAATAAAACACAAAACATATTGCATGTTTTGTTGCAGAAGGAATTGGCAAGTGACACGCACATAGAGATGAGCTGAATGGAAGTAAAAAAATAAAAAGTTTATTTGCCAGCAAAGGTTGAATCACACTCAAAAAGGCAGTGCCAGTGATCGACCTCCTATTGGGTTGCTGCTTCCTCTTTTATAGGTTTTACAGCTATGGTCTCATTCAGGTGGTTGCATTTCATTTCCTCAGTTCGCATTACCCATGTACAAATGACAGTAACCAGAGAGTTGACTTTAACCCAGTCACAACAATTCCTTGTAGCTAGGGAGTTTACCTTAAGATTCGTCTAGCTGTCTACTCTAGTGCACGGGAAGGGGGTGTTCAAGGTTAGGGATGAGGCCAGATGTCCCACTTCATGGCCATTGCCTCCGGTGTCTGTTAATTTTGAACTATACAAAACAGATTGCTGTTAGAGACAGCAGAAGTCATTTTCCTAACATTTTGTAGGCTTTTAGATTATTTACAAAACTTCTCTGTATCAGTTTGAGGTGTGGGAGTACTGGACTTCACTTCCCAGCTGTTCTTTTTCAAAAAGCATATTACTGAAACCTTCAACGGTGTACACAAGGGGGGAAAATAGCATACAAGCTGTGTACCCATTGCTCCCATTAACATTTATCAATATATGACCAATCTTTTTTCCATCTCTATTCCCCAGTTTCCCCTATTCTATTCCTCTTGGATTGTTTATCTGAAACACATCCTATGTCTCATATTTTAATTGTAAATTATTCACTGTGTATCTCTAACTTAAAAAAGGATAAGTACCGTACTCCTATTGTTATATTTTCATATCAGTTCCTTAAAATTAAAACATTCAGCTTTCTCTCTCTCATCATTACTATTATTATTATTTTTGTTTTGTTTTGTTTTGGTACCAGGGATTGGGGTCCTTGTACTTGCGAGGCAGGCGCTAGAACCCCTGAGCTAAATCCCCAGCTTACTATTATTATTATTATTATTTTAAAATCAAGGTTAGGCTAATATTCTTCCTTTATATTGTATGTTTTTAATAAATCTGTAGATTCCCCTGATACCTTTTTTGTTGTTCTAATGTAAATTGTTGAAGAAACCAGGTAAAATTTCCTGTAGCTTTCTGCATTCTGAATTTTCTTGATTGCATACTCATGATGGTGTTTTATGAGTCAGATCTAATTGCTTCTTTGTATATAAACTCTTTTTTTTTTTTTTTGCAAATGACTATGCAGTCTTCTTGCAGTGTCACTGAGGAGGTATATAACACCTGGTTACTTTTCTCTTTGTTTGTTTGGTTTTTGAGACAGGGGCTCACTATGTAGTTCAGACCGTTGTGGAACTCACTGTGTAGCTCAGGCTGGTCTCGAACTTGCAGTGATCCTCCTGCCTCAGCCTCCCAAGTGCTGGGATTACAGGTGCGCACTACCACACCCGGCCCTGGTTACCTTTTTGTGATGTTAAGCTTGATCAATATAGTCAGGTGATATCTTCCTGATCTATTTTGTGTTCTTAGCAGGCTCTGATAATGCCAACCTTGGAGCCATGATTTCATTAGGAAGATGCGCAGTGGTGGTATTTAATTTTACCACTCCTTGGCTTCATATGTTAACTACAGTTCTTCTATGAAAAGGAACTTTTTTCTCACTAACTCTTTGCAAGGTGAAAATGCTTGATTCATTTTCTTTCTTTACTGGTTTTCAGTTAGAGTTGGTGTTCTTGCATTATCTACAGCTGGTCAATAAATTCTTTAGGTTTTTTCCCTTCAGGAATCACTATAAATTGAGTTTTTAAACATCATTGATGCATTTTAATCCATATTTTAAATGCTGAAATAGTTTCATCTTTGAGTAGTGAGCACCTCTGTAAGTTGGCTTCTGAATCTTTTTCTTTGACTCTGTCGCTTTTGACTCCTTGCTGTCTTTGAGATAATCCATTGTACTTTCTGCATTTCTTGCCCAGGTCCAGAATCAGCAATATCTCCAAAAAGCCCCAGGTCCTTAGTCTTCCCATATGCTTTTTGCTGAACTTAGACTTACGTCGTTGTATTCCTGACTGCACCCTTGTAATGTTCATGACCATTCTGCTCTCTGATTCAATGGAATGTATCTGGGGGGAAATTGCCTTTACTATTGTGCTTCCTTCAAATTGAAGAAGAAAGTAATCATAATAGAAAGAAATTTTGAAAGTTACAGAAAATTGCAAGTTCACGCCATGTCACTACTGCTTGAAAGATTAACGAATGAATGAATGAAGTAGACTTGAGTATCTGTAGGAGTTAACAAAGGGAGGCTGGGGAATGTTGCTCAGCGGCACAGTGCCTGCCTGGCAAGCACAAGGTCCTGAGTTCGATCCCCGGTACCAAAAAACAGAACGAAACAAAACAAAAACCAAAGTGGTTCTGTCCTGGGAGAATGAAAGTGGTTTTGACTGCGTTTTCCTATCTCATTCATTATCGATTATATTATACTTTTTGGGTCCTGTTAAATTAGAAAGAAAAAAATAATACCTAATGTGCTAAATTTTTTATAAAATAATACCAGAGCACTAAGATCCTAATAACTTTTACCTTGTAAATATTTTCATTATACACACACACACACACACACACACACACACACACATATATATAATACATTTTTAATATTAGAAAACCTTAATTTAATGATAATACTGTAAAAATCCTATGGTCTTTATGTTTAAATAGATTATTTAGCATTAAAGTAGCTAGCCAAAAATTTTGTTCACCGATACATGAAGTGATTATAAATGCAATGTGAAAATTAATGAAGCCTATCTTTATAATCATATCAGTAACACTTGGCTCACATTTGGAAATTATTATGTATAATTTAAAATTAAGCTTTTTAGGATAAATACTCCCTACTGGAATATAGTTTCATGTTCTTTTTTTTTCTCTCTCTCTGTCTCTTTTTGCCAAGTGAAATTTTTCTTTTCTTGGCAACAATTTGGATGTAAGTAAATCACTAGACTACTATTTGCACAGCTGCCATGAAGTTTAGTACAAGGGCATGATTTTAGTCTTAATGAATCAAACATCTGCTTCTAGAAGAGCCCCAGACTGTTGCTTCTGGGTAATCAAAGTCTTCCTTTCCCACTTCGTATTGTAGTCTGCTAGCTTAATTCTGCTATAATTGTGTCTCTTTTGCCTTTTAATAGGAGCACGTGAAATGGGTTCATGCTGAAATGGTAAACAAAAACTCCAAGTTAAGGCTCATTTATGTGACTCCAGAGAAAATTGCAAAAAGCAAAATATTTATGTCAAGACTAGAGAAAGCCTATGAAGCGAGGAGATTTACTCGAATAGCTGTGGATGAAGTTCACTGCTGCAGTCAGTGGGGACACGATTTCAGACCTGGTATGTACGCCTGACCTAGAAAACCCCTTGACATCAGAGACTATGCTCTTAGTGCAGTGGAAATCTCTACTTCCATCAGAATTATCCGCTTACATGGGAGTTACTCATTTTCTCTTGTCTTCTGCCAAGAGGCAGAATCTTTAGTCTCTGTATTCGTCACTGCACCATTCAGTCTGATCGTCTTTATCCTCTGAAACGTGTGCTTACTGGCCAGTGTTATGTATCTCCGTGGCATTCTTTGCCTCTTGGTGTTGTGGCACATTTGTCAAGGAATTGGCATCTGCTTCAGAGTTGTCTTCGTCTATCATTCTGAGCGTCTTTAGCGTCCCCTCTGACTCGTCATTGTCAGAGTTGTGTGAGATATTTTAGTAACTCTTTCTTCACTTTGCCCACCTAATGCTGTAGTCAGAGCCTGAAGTCAGTTGCTTAGAACTGTGCAATCCTAAAATCGTATTCCCTGGTTCCACCGTCTTTTCCTCCTGAGGCTTTGCACACCCATAGGGACCTCCTGCATCCCTCCTCTGTCCATGCCTGTGTGTTTGTCTGTGGTGCCCATCTCTGCAGAATGATCTCTTTTCCCCACCCTGACCCCTTCTGTTCCATTTGTCCTGGATTGCTTGGCTGTTTCACCAGCCTGGCCTGACTGAGATGCTGGCTCCGTCCAGACTTGTGCTTTCTCCATTCCTGCTGTTTGGCTACTGACCGCTGTCAGAAGTAAGTTATAGAACTGTGCTAATTTCCATTTCATTTCAGCTTTTCACCATTTTCATCTTTTTATCTGTCTTCATTTCAACTCCTTGGCGCCTTCCAACTTTTGTGTCACTACGTTTCTCTTCAAGTCCTAACTCACGCCTACCAGACACCTCCTTCTTATAGAAAATCGGTCCCATCAAGAACTCTTTCTCCTTCCAAGCATTAGCATTGTGTTTTTTTCTTTTTCTGTCTGTAGGTTAAACGACCCATCGTTACTTTGTAAGGGTAACTATGACCACTCCCACCTCCTCCTTCCCTGCCTTCTGAAGGCCTTATTCTGCAAGTTCCTCCCTGAGGCACCTTCGGCCTCATTTATCCCCTCCCTAAAGACCAGCAGAAGCAGTGTTTCTAGCGTTTCTGCCCCTGCAGTGTTATCCTATGTCTGTTCTTCCCTTTCTCATCAAAACGTCTCAGCTCTCCATCGCTACCTTCGCTCCTTTCTGAATTCATTGAGTTGCTTCTGCCGCCAACACCGTCCTGAAAGAGGTCACCAGTGGGCCCCTCCCAGGACTCTTAGCCACTGACCCAACCCTCCTTCCTCCTCCCGCTTGACATCAGAAGCTTATCACCCTGCTCACTTCTGCCCTCTTGCTTTCTCTTCCCTTGTTCACTCTCATGTGTCACTCCTGGATGTCTTTCTTTCCATTTTCATCCTCTTTGTTCTTCCTTTGTTTCCTCCTTAAATATCAGCGTTCTCTAGGATTCGGACTTCAGCCTTTACCTTTTCTTACATTTATTCAGGGATAGTGAAATTGTGGCCTGAAAACTGAATTTTCTAGTTTGAATTATTTGGGACACTACTTTTTAAAAAATTCTGGCTGATTGCATGATCTCATTTTTCACTGAGAGCCCCACTGTTGTGACGACACAGTTTTCCACATAGTTCTTAGCTGGTGGCCAGCTTTTGACCCTGACATATTTTTAACCCAAGTGGTCTGGCTCAACCAAGTTGAACCAAGGTGTGGTTACTTAAGATAATTATCCTGGCTTCTGTATTATCATGGCTTGCATTAGCTCCACTGATCTGCTGCCATAGGTAATTATTTTCTAAAATTCAATTTTATATTCCTAATTATTTTGGGACTATACCTGTAAATTAGATCACCAGACCTAAATTCTTCCCTTTTTCCTTCTGTGCTGCAACTGGGGATCACCATTTGTTCTACTAGATATCCTCACCAAGAACTTCTGGTTTTTCCTCTCCCCTCTTGAAACCTTTGGTTTTCCTGCCTCCTCCTCCCGATCAATTTCTGTTTTCACCCTCTCTATTGTAGGAAAGTCATTCAAACACGTACTTGCTTAAGCCAGAACTTCAGCAGTTCACACAGTTCCTCAGTGTCCATGGGGATTGATTTCAGGATCCTACATATTCCCAAATCCATGGGTGTTCAGGATGGTCCTGCAGTCCACGGAAGGATCCAGAATGTTCTGCAAAGGCTCATAGCAGGGCTTTTGGAAATGACTGCATCGTGGGGGCAAGAGAGCCGACTTGCTGTTAGAAGGCGGGGCCTGGTCAGAAGAGGAGGGAGGGTCCCTGGGGTGTAACTGGGAAGGGTGCATCTCCCTTCGAGATGCTTCCTGGCTGCCACGCTGTGAGCAGCTTTCTTTCCTCTGCTGTGCCCCTCTTCCATGCCCAGTCTACTTGGAGTTGATGATCACGGCCTAAAAAAGTGAGCCATAAAGTGGCACAGTATGTACATGTACTTTGTACACACCCTCCTGCGTGCTTTAGATCATCTGGGAATTACCTATAGAACCTAATACAGTACGAATGCTAAGTAGGTAAGGGATAATGACAAGAAAAACATTCTGTGCATGTTTGGTACATATGCAGTTTTTTGCAATTTTTTTTTTTTTTTTGATTCTGGGGATCGAACTTGGGTCCTTGTGCTTGTGAGACAGACAATGAAACCACTGAACTAAATCCCCGGCCCAATTTTCCAAATATTTTTGATGGGCAGTTCATATGGAACCTATGGGGAAGGAGGGCTCACTGTATCTGTATCTTTCAGGACCCAGTTAGGAGACAGAAACCATTTTAGTTATTTGAACGCAGGTAATTTTATATAGAATTGTTGACAGGGTGTGGTAGTATATGCCTACAATTCCAGCTACTTGAGAGGCTGAGGCAGGAGGATTGCAAGTTAGAGGCCAGCCTTCGTGAGTTAGTAAGACTTTTTCTCAAAAAAAAAAAAAAAAAAAAAAAAAGGATAAAATT